TTATACTTCTATCTATTGCAACTTCCGAAAAAATTGTATGAAATAAAGATTCTGTCTCCATAGCACTATTCTACAAATGTATCCTGATCAAAAACCTCTAATAATTTTATAAATATAACGATTTTCCAGAAGCCTTAGTGATTGAAAGTTCATAATACTAATAAAATGCTAATAAAACATACTGTTTTCAAACCACTACTCCTCCTCCATTTTCAAAGATATAGACACCAAATTAGTGTACAAGATAGTATATGTAATATAGATTAGAACTATGGAAAGAGTTAATGGATTAAAAATACCAGTGGCATAAAAAAACTCATTCGAAATACAGAAAATTTCTTTCTTTATCATTATACTTCTATCTATTGCAACTTCTGAAAAAATTGTATGAAATAAAGATTCTATCTCCATAGCACTGTTCTACAAATATATCCTGATCAAAAACCTCTAATAATTTTATAAATGTAACGATTTTCCAGAAGCCTTAGCGATTGAAAGTTCATAATACTAATAAAACGTAATATTTATTTAAAAAATAATAGCAAAATATTTTGTTACACTGTTTCCTTTTTTAGAGAAAAAAAGGGGGCACCATAAAAAAATCCGCATATATGGATTTACATTATGACATTAATTAGATTTGTTAATCAACTTATATTGAATACCCCAATGACCCGTGCAGGCCTCTAGTCTGCTGATCAATTCATTATATGTTACAAACAAATTCACAAGATACTTTTTGTTATATCCATGAACATGGCACAAAACATTCTGTTGAGTCAATTCCTTTCTCTTGTTTCTTTTTTTGTTGTTTTTGTTCTTCTATTTTTTCTTTTTCTGTACCTTCAAACTGCAGGTTTTCAAATGGATTAACAAGCTCTTCAACATACCACACATCTACACTTTTTCCAAAAATCAAGTCATGGTGCCAAATATTACAAAGTGCCTCTCCAGCATATCGAAAGTTTTGAAGGGCTAAATCTGGATTGATCACTTTGCCTTGCGTATTTAGGTGTGTTCCATAGTGATGAATTGGTAGTGTGATACCTGCCAATTTTCCAGATAGTGTTGCTATGCCCCTTTCAACAGGATTATACTTGGATTGTCCTGGAGTATGTGTTCGTACAGTCAGGTAATCTAAATCAAATTTTCGAAAAAGTTGACAGTATGTTTTAATGTTTTTTAGATGTCTTGGATTCTCATCTGGTCCTCCATCTACTAATAACACCCAAATAGGTCGAATTTCTCCATTGGTCTTCAACACATCATCATATTGAGGATCTAAGGTGAGGCTTTTAAGATCTTGCATGTGTGTGTGTGAAGACATACCAAGGGACCATTGACGACGTACAAAAATGGCAAGTTGTCCTGTTTGTAATTCATCATTTGATTCATTTGGTTTGATCATAAGATAAACTGATGGAACTAACTTTTGCCCACTTCCTACAGGAAAATCATGATCAGCCACACAAGCAGGCTCATGAACTGACTGCAATGTGTGAAATGTCCGACCTACAGCAGGCACTCCAAGACCTATCTTTGCCTTGTCATCTTGAGAAATGACAACAGACATATCAGCAAAGACAGTTGCAAATTGTTTTGCACATTTAACAGATGCAAGACAATAGTGACCATTAGGATGGTCCCGTGTTTCAGCACATGAAACTCTGGCTACTGCAACCCATGCTGGATGATGGTGTGCTCTTGCAGCAATGGAGTTGGATTGATGAGGCAGCAGGTAGTTATTCAATGTTGTTCTTGCCATGTAGACATTATATTTCTCTTCAAGATTCTTATGCAAATTTTTGATTATCCGCACCTTAACCACTTCTTTTCGCCGTTTTTCATCAGCTGATCCAAACTCAACTGAATCATGAATATGATCATGTAAATCTGGATGTTGGAAAAGGAGTGGTGGACGACCAGGTTTATCATATAGTATTATTTCTTGACTTTCAAGAAGCAGTTTCTGTTTTTTTTCTTTGCATTTTTGAGTATATTCCGCATTTCTTTTTAATTGGATAATCTTATCTTTATTAGATTTTATTTGGGCTTGAAGGTCTGCTATTTTTACATGCATATCATGACGAAGTTGAGAATCAGTTGTGAAATTGTAAATTTGCTCAAATTCAGTAAGTTTTTTTTCAGCTATTTTTATTCCATTTGCTACCTTTTTTTGAGCTGCTGCATTAACAGGAATTTCTGGTGTAGGTTCTACCAAATGAATAGTAGTAGGAAGGGGGGTCAAGTCTTCTCTAGGTATAGGATATCTTGGTCTCATTGTTTGTATATTATATAAGTTAAATTGTGTGATTAGGTATTTTCTGATTATTTCATCAATTTCTGTTGTGCTTTTTTTTTTAATTCTATTCCATTCTTGTGTTGCTTTGCGACAAACATCAGCACGGTTAGGGGTACCATTTCCTGTCTTCACCATAATACTATATACATAAGCATTAGAAAATTCTTGATATTTATTTGTTGGTGAATCATAGATTGGTTTCTTGCTAAATTTAGGGCTAAATAAAAAGGTTTGATGGCTCATTTTTTATATTGTAAAATAGTAAATTATAAATCACAGAAACGAACATATAAATCGGAAATGATTTACATGTATCACGAAGTGAAAATGTGGAAACGATTATCACGGAATAACTCAACAAGAAATAAACCAGTACAATTTAATAAATGTTACACT